TGATTACCCCTTGACTAACTGCTAGTTGATCTAACTAGTTGGTAAGACACAGTCTTAACAGTGTCTATGTTTATGCAACTGGCCCCTGGTTTAACTAATTTAAGCCTCAATTTAGTCCTAAAGAAGCTCTCGTCTTCCTCCAGCAAACTGGCCTATAAAACTATGGACTAGACTAAGTCTAAGACGATTTAAAACCATGACAGAAAAAGCCCATTTCTGTTAATATGGCTTAAAGGGCCATTTTAGTCTAGGATTAGGCTTAATCTCTGTCTGGAAAACCACCCCTTTAAATACAAAGATCTTAAAGGTGCCGGAAAGCTTATGCATATGAATCGAGCAGTTTATTCGTAGTTTTCTTAAGAGATACGATCACTGTATATGATAAACAGATTTAATTTAACACTGAATTGAACATGAAACACAAATGTGCTTGTCACACGCTAGAATAAACATTTGAGCTTCCATGCTTTCCATATTTGATGTGCTCTCTGTATGTGTGGCGTCATTGTTTATGATTGTTAATGCAAGCCTAATTAAATGTCCATCATATAAAGTGATTGTATCTCTTCACAAGACTTGGATTAAAGCGCTTGATTAATTTTTGGATTAGTTTTCTCTTGGCTCTTCAAAGTTTTGGTTGCGCAGACTTTCAGTGGAGGGACAGAAAACTCAGGTTTCATTCAAAATGTCTTCATTTAAGTTTTGAAGATGAATGGGTTTTAAACGACGTGAGGGTTGATGAAGACAGAATTCAGTTTCATTTTCGGGTGAACTATCCCTTTAAGGTACATCTAGCCATGGTCCGCTACCACGAGGCCGGGCGTTTCTGTGAGAAGGATGCACCATGGGACCAGATTTCTGCAGTGTATCATTTGGAAAGAGCTGCCATGTGCGGAGAGCTTGAGGCTATAGTTGCCCTTGGCCAATGTTATCTTCAGCTGCCACATCACATTCTACCAGAGATCGAATTAGAGGTGCTTTCTTTTCCTAATTATCTTGTGGTTGGTGACACATTGTTTTATTTCTCTGCTTATGCTTCCCCTGTCATGTCTCTTGTTGTTTTATCTCAGGCATCTGTGGAAAACAGCAAGAAGGGTTTCCGCTTTCTGCTGCAGGCCGCTGAGGCAGGAGACCGGCCGAGTATGATTCTAGTAGCACGAGCATTGGACACGGGTTTAAACCTCCCTTCTGATAGGTGAGAAACGCATTGATCAATTTTTTGTCTTTTTGGCCCAAGATGTGTTTAGGGCTGAAACTTTTATTTTGGACTTTGAAAATGCAGGGCTATGGACTGGAAGCACGCCGTGTACTGGTATGACTCTGCCCTTAAGATGACGGACTATGACGAGGGGGGAGAGTTTGATGGGATGCAGGATGAGCCACACTACCTTCTGTTGGCACGATTGGCTGAGATGTACCAGGAGGGAGGGTACAACCTGGATGCAGACCCCCAAAGAGCAGGTGAGTGTATCACATGCTCAAGGGGACCTATAGATAACCAGAGACCTGTGGGCTACAGCATTACCAGTATGCCCCTCTACCACAAATGAAAATAGCACTAAGCTATTAGTCAATACATAAACATTTCAAGTAGTGCATATGTATGAATGAATTCAAATGACATAACTTTAGAAACTTCTCTTCATTGTTTTTGCATTCAGTAGATGACAGTAACTTGATCTAAAACCTTCAGATGACACATATTATATCCACGTCTGTAAGTTACCAAACCTGCATTCCGCAAAAAGTGGCTCTCTTGCACTTTATGACGTTTCAGAAAACTAGTTTTGCAATCCGGATCCATTCATACAACAGGGTGAAAATGCATTTGTGAGTCCTGAAAATTTACAGGAGTGAGTTCAGTCATAGAATGCATTTGTCAGTGCTGTAAACTCCCATATATAAAAATAATTATTTAAAAAATATTATTTGTCGTGCAGCCAGTAGGCCCTGCCCCTGGGCTTCGGCCCATAAAAGCCTGTGCATTAATGCTCCGCTGCTCATGCTATAAAACACAGTGGTTCTTCTGCTGAAACTCAGATTCAACATTTGAAGTTATTACAACAGTACAATTTTATTGAATCTTATTGATTTTATTGAATCTTCATTTTATTTATTTTAGTTACATATGTTTTAATGCTTAGGCTTCATCTAGACTTTGTCTGCCCAGCACAAATCAACAAGTGTTCATATACCAAAGCAAAAGCTATGGAAAATCACTGCTTCACAACATAGAAATTCTCTTATCTCTTTCTCGTGAAGACAAATATCCCTTGAAAACACTGAATCATAAGATTTAACAACAAAAGCAAGCATTGCAAAAGCAAGAAAAATTAGTAAAATAACTAGTATACAAAATGTAAAACAATTATTATATAATTAAATTGAATAATTAAATGATTATGATTAAATGAATATTAAATTTAAAAACAACAACAACAACAGGTGTATGGTCGTTTTGTTGAAACAATGCACACAGGTCACTATTGCGGTCACTATCCTTAAGTAGTTTAAGAATATAATATATAATATAATATAGTGATGTGTGATTTATGATATCTTTTAAATTTTGTAGGTGATCTTTTTACTGAGGCGGCTGATGCAGCTATGGAGGCCATGAAGGGCAGACTGGCCAATCAGTACTACATGAAAGCAGAGGAAGCATGGGCTATGATGGAAGAATGAAAGTGCTGGTGTGGAAAAAAAGCATGAACATAGTTCCTATTTTGCACCCAGCGCCTGTTTACATGCCGTTTTCAATGCCTTATGTTTTCCTTGGGTCCCTTTGACTTAAGAGAACTAATGTTGATATTGGATCAGTTTTCTAATGAATGTGACAAGGGCATACGCTGATTCAGTGATATACTGAGGTGCTACATACACATATTCTCCTGATTAATTTTTTATTAAGAATAGTTGCACAGTGTCTGCAACCTGTTCAGGTTGCTTCATGGGAATATGTGCATTATCTGTCAATTATTTCTTTCTCTTGTTTCCAACTGGATGTTTCTTTAATAAACACGTTGTGACTGTTAAGAAAATTTGGCATCCCTGATTGAACTTCTGTCAAATTAATTTGCTAGTATTGTTAGATCTGATGTCTAAGAATATTAAGCATCAATAGCTATTGCTGTGAGTTTTAACCTGTTTTCTGTTGACTGTCAAAAATCTTTCAGAATTCACTATAATCAAGGAGTGTAGAAGTGAGTGTGATAATTTTTCCTGGTTATTTTTCAAATGAGAGCAAGATTACAAACAAACAATAAAATCATAATGCTTGTTTAGCCAGAAATATCACCTGTTGTCTTTAAATTCATACCAAGATGTCATTGCACATTAATTAATGCTAAGAAACAATAAATTATATCAGATGGAATTTCAGGCATGGCAAGAATGGCTCTAGTTTTACACTTGACAGTACAAAATAAACACAGATAATAAATGTATGATCAAATATAAATTATGATAATGTACAGACAGTTGGTTGTTATCGTAAAATAAACCCTGTTAGGGTTGTATGAGGTTCTAATCACCCGTTTTGGAGTTTATTTTAGAATAATGCCAGCATAATATGCAACATAGTGTTATTTTTTTATAGATGGTTGTAGTAGTATTTATTTATTGTCCGTTATTACAGTTTTATCAGTATTCATTCATTTCAGATTTAGTTACCAGGTATTATTTACGTATTTAAAAATACTAATTGTATTTGATGAAAACGTATGTATTGTATTTCAGTGGAAAGTTAATGTTATTACTGACAGTTACATGAGGTAAAAGAAGTTGAACATCAAGTTTTGATGTTTTTTTATTTTTTTCAGTTTTCTTCTGTTTACACATCTGAAAGTGGCTTATTAGATCAAAGGTAAATATTTTATTATCTTACTATACATTACAGAGAGCTACTTGCTATAGGACCTAAGTCAGTTACAAACTATTGTACCTAACTCGATAAAAAAATGAGTATAGTACCATATAACCTCTTATCCCTATATAGGTTTAGGTATAATATTGCTAATTATTATAGGATTAATACTGATGCTTGACTTTTCTGTATAATATTAAATTAATGTAACTTAATGTTTATATTCCTCACTGTACAGGTGATTTTTTTTTTTTAAATATCTAAATTTGTATATCTTTTACTCCCTTTGTACACAACAATATTTTTTGTTAATGTAAATTATACAATAATTAAAGAAATTACAGGAAAATAACAAGTATTGTATTATAACATACACTACAATAAGGCATTTTCAATGGGACACTTTAAGTGACCATCATTTTAATTTTCACTTCACTTAAATCATAATTTATAAAGGCTAGTACATTAGGGGTTGTGTGCATAAACTCCTCTAGTTTTTCATACATAGTAGGGATGGGCGTATCGATCCAAAGTATCGATATATCGATACTGACGCAAGTATCGAAAGTATCGATACTCAAACAAAAAATATCGATACTAAGGTGTGTTTTATTTACCAGTGATTTTGTTAATTCAACAACAACAACAAAAAATAATGCGTACAATATGCATTGAATTGGACGAATAACCTTTGTTAGCGAGTAATTGTGTAGGATATAACTATTTTCCTGCTCATCTGAACACGCAAATGTTGCAAGACAGAACCAATCAATCACAGAGAGCGTTCACTCACTTCTGACAGTACATTCAAACAGGTATCGTATCGAAAACAAAATAAGTGGTATGCCCATCCCTAATACATAGCCATGCTTGCTTCCGCCTTTTTATCAAGCTGGGGCAGATTGTGTCTAGTTTAAAAGAGCGGTTGTGCATTTAACATGATTCAATTGGCCACCTTTACTGTCGCGTTACGTCAACACCTAATCCTATTGGCTATGACAAGTAGCAAGTATTACTACTGACCAATCAGAAGCCTTCGCGGGGAATTTTGAATAGTTTTCAAACATGAATCGTTATCCGTCTTATATTCCTCCGCGGATTGACAAAGAAAGTAGTCCGTCATTTTTATAATGGATAACGTGCTAAATTAACCTTTGAATAAGGCTCTAATTAGCTAGCTCCATCCATTATGCGATATTATATATTTTTTTGAGTAAATACCTGGTAGTTGTTTTATTTTTTTTGGCGGAGGAATATATGCCGTCAGTCAAGACGGAAAAACGCGCTGATGGACACCGTGTGCTGATGTTTGAGCGTAGTAGTTTGAGCTAGTAACGGCAGGAGCGACCGGGACAATAAACCTAATGCTGGATTAAATCATTAAGACAGGGTTTGACATCGATGGAATATATTTTATCGTTTTGATTTACGCAACCTCAGGTAAAGACAGGGTCATTTTAATATCCTTGGAACTGCTCAAATTTTTTTTGACATAACGTTACTACGCTATCGATAGATGCGTACGTTAGTTACAGTTAACACACAAAACAAATTGGTAGCGTTATTATCAAATATTGTGGGCAATTCCGGTCGGTCACTAAAAGTAGTAAATGTGGATGTATTCCTGTTCCTTTTGCATGTTATGGAGTGTTTTAAAGGTCTTTTGCCACGTGCTGATGTGCGTGTTTCCAATTGTGTATGTGAACGTAAATGATATGAAGAAATGATGCATTAATACAGAATATTCAGACATTTTCTTTGTATAGTATGATTTATTTAACATCAAGGATGATATTAAAGTTAGATTTCCAATAAACCTTACAGTAAAATGTTTAATTTACGTCGATGAAAAAAATCACACCACGAGGTTGTTCTTTTTTTGTCTTTTGTGTTTGCTAAATAAGGTAAGTTGTTTTGAAATGCCTTTGCTTGGGAAGATAGTGGTGATCAAGAGAAATGGAGGAGATGGCACTGAATTTCCCCTCACAGCGTCCTGTCTGTTCGGAAGGTAAGTAACACATTTTATAATAATGGCTTACATCAGGGCTGCCCAAACTCGGTCCTGGAGGGCCGGTGTCCTGCAGAGTTTAGCTCCAATTTGCCTCAACACACCTGCCTTTAAGTTTCTAGCATGCCTAGTAAGAGCTTGATTATCTGGTTCAGCTGTGTTTAATTGGGGTTGGAGCTAAACTCTTCAGGACACCGGCCCTCCAGGACCGAGTTTGGACACCCCTGGCTTACATGGCTATGAATGTATTTAATACTGCAAAGTATACGGTGAGGCGCATGAAAAGCAACATTTATTCGCCTACTGCTACAACAAATGCACAATATCACTGTAGGTAACACTGCAAGTGCTTTTTGCTTAACCTAAACATTTGGTTAAAGTATCTGCAAAATGGCAATTGACACAAAGAATTGTACATGTTTGTGACATGCGCATCTCGTTTGATGCCAGGCGGGCTTTTCATTGACGTCAAATTTCACTCCAGCCAATCAGAATGCGTTATTCTAAATGACATGCATTCATGCTCATTGTACAGATCAAGAGACTGGGTATAACCACTGATCTATGTAATCTATTATAGATCAGTGGGTATAACTCCTGTGTGTGTGTCTTTATTGAAGTTACAGTTTTGTTTTGCAAAACATCCGCTTGTCTAAGTTGAGTTGCCAGTGGTGGCTGGATGAGAAAATTGACCAGCCAAAGATATTTCTCACATATTTTCTATACATATTTGTGATAAACGGATAATGAAAATATTGGGGTTGTTAATGTAAATTAAACTATTTAAAAAATATTACAGGAAAATAATCAGTGAAGCTGCTCCTATCACATAATCGTAATTTTTTTTTTAATTCATTTTGACAAGACACATCTGTTCAACAAGTATGTTTTCAGCCAAACTAAAGTAATGTTTAAACAAAACCTTTTGTCTGTTGATGTGTTGATAAGAATGGACAAGAGTGAATGATGCATTTTATACATGCACATAAAAATATGTATTAAATATGCATGTTTTATGTATAATTAAAAAAAAACGTTTTGAACAGCCAGTGGTTAATGTATACTTGAGTGTGTAGTGCATGATATTGTTTGTCATGCTAACTATTATTCTTGACATAAATGAACAAAAACAGGATGTTGTCTGTAAAAAGTCACCAGTGTAAGATGTTGTTTCTAGAATATTTGAATCTGTTGAATCTAATGTGGTGAACCTAGAAATGCCCAATAAGTGTGAGATAAATTCATATATATTTGATATCTTACACCACATATATCATAATTTAATATTTCACATTCACCAAAAAGGCAAATGGGCATAGAAGAAGTTTTAATGTGAACTCTCCTTACCTCTTTAGGAAGCTGGACTGTGATATTCGGATTCAGCTGCCACAGGTGTCTAAAGAGCATTGTAAAATTGAGCTGAATGAGAACAAGGAGGTAATTATGTTGTTGTTAAACTGTAAAAAAATTTTTTCTGAACAACGGTTTCTTGTGCAAATGAACGCATGACATGCTATTAATTTATTCGGACTTGTCTCTCGTTTAAGCTCATTTTGATCAATTTGAGCTCTGTGAACCCCACACGTATTAATGGACAAGTTCTTAATCAGTCGGAGCGTTTAAAGCAAGGTGATCTCATCACAATCATTGATCGTTCTTTCAGGTGAGTCCGATGTTTATTACTATTTTAATTCTGAAAAAAAAATCTTTCAGGGGGAATCCTTGTTTGCTAGAATAATTTGCTGTTTAATTTGTCAAAATGTCAGGTTTGAGTACCCACCTCCTAAGACACCGAAGAAGAGGCTGTCCACACCTGGAAAAGACAAAGCAGTTCAGGTGTGTATTTAATGCGAGACAGTTGATGTTTGTTTGTTTTTTGTTTCTTTGATAAATTTTGGTTCTTTTTTCCTGTAGGCTTTGCAAGAGCAGCAGGAAAAAGGCACACCTGTTCCTGTGGAAAAGAGAAAGTCAGAGCATTCGTTTGGTTAGTGATTGAGTGATTTTTATTCTCTATAATGTTACTATTAGTAGTAGTGTTATAATAATAATTAATATTGTTAATTATTGTTGTTGTTGTACTTAGGGATGGGTCACGATTTTCGATTAGTTGATTTAATTATAGAATATCTAATAGGTTGTGCGATTGTCTAAAAAGAATTACCCATGTTTTCGTGCTGATGCAGTGGTGACGCATTCATTCATTTAAAAAAATAAAAATAAATCTATATCCATTAAATCCGCTCTAAATCCGTTAACATGGGCGTGGAAAAGAATACGCTCCGCATACATACTGTGCAAACGGAGTTGGTGTGTTCTCTGCAGCTGGACTAATTGTGAACAGATTGCGCTCCTGTCTTCATCCCGAACGAATGAATGAATGAAAAAAAAAAAATGTGTTATAAAGACAGACGTTAAAATTAATGTTCACATAAGTGCCATCATTCAGGCTGTTCACAATATGTTTTAACCCATTTAGACCTAGCCTAAAGTCATTATGGCTTGAGGTGATATTCATGGATGAATTAATCAAACTGTTTTTTTTTTGTTGGTATGAATGTTTATGCTCATTTTTGAAGTGGAAATGCCCTAGCCTTATGAGCAGTTGATTTATGCTACTTATTTCAGCACTTTAAAATCATTATATGGCTTGAGTTAAGAGCCTATTCCCTAATGAAACCGTTTGTTATCATACAGATTGAAAGCATGAATGGTCTCTCTCCCTCTCTCCAGGGGCGGATCTAGAAAATAATTTTTAGGGTGGCATGGGGTCTATTGGCGCTTTTCCACTGCGTGGTACGACTCGGCTCGGCACGGTTTGCATTTCCACTGCAGTTCAGTACCACTTTAGAGTGGGCGGGATTATTCACATGTCGTTATAGTTGCGCCGCCTCTACTACCATGACTCCTAAAAATCTTTTTCATTCCGCGTCGCCCCATCAAGCTCTCACTGGATCCGCTCCTCTGCTATCAACGAGAGGAACGTCTGTTCTTCCACAACAGACAACAAAACTTTTTGGTTGTTAAAAAAAGGTGTGCTCGTTCAAAACGGTTGCGTTCGATCCTTTGCTGGCTGTGCTGATTTAAATCTAGCGGTTCTTTTGGGTTTGTGTCACAAGTTCAGTGACGCAGGTAGTAACGATTCTCTCCGGCCAATCCGTGATCAGCAGAGTTTACACGTCACGTTTTGGTAACGGTACGGTTCACTTGGAACCCCAACCGAGGTGGTACTAAAAAAAGTACCAGGTACCTGGGTACTGTACCCAGTGGAAAACCCCCCAAAAGGGAGCCGTACCATGCAGTGGAAAAGCGCCATATGAGGGGTGGCAACACCAAAGCAAGCCCCCATGCACAGTTTTTGGGATTTATGGTCTGACATACACAGTTGTTCACAAATATTGTATTACCATTAAGTAATCATCTATGCTGTTTAAAATTAAAAATAACATTTCAATGTCCATCATGGCACCAAGTCAATACACCATATAAAAAAAACTTCAACAGGTTATAAATGTTTCTGAGCTTGTATTACTAAATAAGACATGCGGTTCTATTAAAATTACATAGGCTACTTAGATGGTATAATCATGTTTAGTGCAAGTTTAAGAGCAACAAAAACTTTTGAATTTCCTAATATTAGAAATAAATACAATAATATTAAAGCACTGAAACTATTTGATTTTCTGTTATTAACAGAGGTGGGAACCAGCACAGTTTACACGTCACGTTTTGGTAACGGTACGGTTCACTTGGAACCCCAACCGAGGTGGTACTAAAAAAAGTACCAGGTACCTGGGTACTGTACCCAGTGGAAAACCCCCCAAAAGGGAGCCGTACCATGCAGTGGAAAAGCGCCATATGAGGGGTGGCAACACCAAAGCAAGCCCCCATGCACAGTTTTTGGGATTTATGGTCTGATGAAATTGAAAACTGTGTCAAAGGCCGAGAATTAGCGTATGGTTTTGCAGATTTGGTTCTGCCTTTTGAGTGTCAGCTTTCAGAAATTGTGTGACAAGTAAAGATTTTGTGTGTAAGCAGTTGAAAAAAAACTGTATATGCTTACAATTCAAATACACAGATGACTTTCCTGCCCAGTGAACACTGAGATTAATAACACTGTAACAAAAAAACTCTTACTAGGATTCAGGAACTATTTTTGCAGCTCAATGTCTATTACAGTATACATTAAATTACAGATACATATGTATAATTCAGCAATGAACTTTTGGGAAAAAAATCTTTTTCATTTTATATCAGTGATTGTCATGTTTACTGTATTTACAGATACTTGTTTAAAAGATGGGTCAAATTTGCCACCATCTGTGGAACAAACTGTTGAGACTGAACCAGAAGATGGCAAACTTAAAAAGGACAGCATGTCACCATTTTGTGAGCTTTACCAAATGGTCAAACAGGACCTTGCTGCAAAATCACCATGGAAGTCTGAGCTACCAAAAACACCTCTTGCAAGACCTCAGGTTGGTCACGAGAAAGTTGCCGCTGCAGATGTTAATAGTAGTCAGAAACAGGTCACAACCCCATCTACCAAGAAGCGAAGATCCTCGAAATCCAATTCTGAAGATACAACTGGACCAGCTATACCTCAGAGCTCATTTAATGCAAATGTGGAAGAAAACCCCACTGACGATGTGCCATCTATAGAGTCCACCACCCCCTCAATGACAGAGAAATGTGTAACTCCTGTCTCCCAGAAGAATAGAACACCCTTGAAAACACCTCAGAAGTTCAGTGCTTGTGAGGTAGTCCAGCAAATTCTTTTACAGCCACTGCCTGAAGAGAAAACTCCTAAATCCCCAAAAGGAAGGAGAAGTGGTGGATCACAGGATCAGAGCTTTGTTCATCAAATACCTTCAGTCCAGCCTCAGACTCCAGGCCCAAAGGATAACAACACTGAAGTGAAGATGTCACCTAGAACATCCCCAAGAGCAAATGCTGGCAAAAGGTTTCAATTCCAAGATGTTCTGCCTGAAGTTACAGCTACCACATCAGCTTCTAAGAAGGAAGGTGAGACGGCTTGTTTTTCTCCTTATAAATAGAACTATTAGTAATACATTAGAAATGTCTGCATGCCATATGCACCATTTGTCATTTAGGAAAATGCTGCAAATGTGTGTGGCTATTGAAGTCATATTCATCATACTTTTGTTTTGTCCTACAGATGACACTTCAGTAAATGAGCTATTTGATGGTAATGAATCTCGCAATGAAGTAACCGTTCCAAAAGCAAAGAAAAAGCGAGTGTCCTTTGGTGGTCAGTTGAGTCCAGAGCTATTTGACAAATGCCTGCCCCCCAATTCCCCCCTTCGCCGTGGGGCAACCCCACGACACAGTTTGGGTCCTTCCCAAAAACCCCAATCTCTCTTACAACGAGCATCCACCATTGGTCTTTTGGTAATGCTTAAATCCAGCTTTTTGAGGACTATTAAATCTTTGAAACTTGTGAAGGTTTTTAATCGTTTTTTTTTCTCTTCCCTTTTTTTTTTAGGCTCTTCGACTTAAAGAAACCGTTTCAGAGGCTCGAAAAAGTTCTCCAAAGAAAGCTTCACCCAAATGGACAGCATCTCCAGTGAAGACTCCATCACCTGCCAAAAGGTCACTGGGTACCAAGGCTACAACTCCATCACCTGCCAAGAGGTCACCGGGTACCAAGGCTAAAACTCCATCATCTGCCAAAAGGACACCGAGTGCCAAGGATAAAAATCCATCACCAAAACCTCAAAAGTCACCAACTGCTTCAACCAAAGCACCAACACCATCCTCTACTCCTGCTACACCCAGGACACCTGCATCTGCTAAGAGAGCATCAACTTCAACGATTGAGGCTGTGGGTGACATGTCTTTAACTGAGACACCTCTGGCGCAGGGAAGGTTTTCAGTCTCTCGTATAAATACTCCATCACCTGTCCAGGACCAGGGGAACATGTCTGAACCACAGTCAGCCATTGCAGAAGACATGCCCCAGAAGTGTGTAACACCAAAGATACACTTAAGGAGGAAGAGCATGAAGTCTTCTGCAAGAAAAACTCCCAAAAGTGCAATTAAAAGTGTTCTTGATGTCATTCGTTCAAGACGCAGTGGAGCATCACGGGCTAATCTAAAAGGTGAAACATTTAAACTGGTTATATTCATGTTTTCCTGTTTAGAATACTAAATCTCTCATTGTTTTAAATATCTTTAAAAAAAAAATGTTTTTGTTCCTTTGTTTTAAGTGTTGACCTCTTGGGCTGATATTGTGAAGTTTGGTCAGACCCAACCTCAAACAGAAGTTACAACTAAGAATAAACCTACAAAGAGCAGTATAGTGAAGAGAACTGTAGTGATAAAACCCAAGGTAAAATACAGAAGATCATCAGTCTCAAATAAATGTTTTTGTTCTGATTCATTGTTCAAATATCTGTTAATGGTTTTATTCATTGAATGGCTCATTAATTTGTGGCTTTAATACAAACTGCATTTGACTGTTGGTTACCTATGCAGACACCTGCACAGAGGCTGAAAGATGATGTTAGCACTGGGCATGCAGCATCTCCAGTCACCATTGTTGTTGGCAAAGCCCATATGAGGACTAACCAGTCTGTTGCTGCTGCACCTAAAATAGTGCCAAACATAGCACTATTCAAGAAGGACATGAAAATGGATGAGGACTTGACAGGTTTGTTCAATGTTGAAGAAAACAATATATGTAATAAGTTTGATTAAATTGTTAGTTCAAATTCTATGTTGTATGTGTATTGTTAGGTGTTGCAGAGATTTTCAAAACACCAGCCAACACCAGGTCTAAGAATAGAGTTCTTTTGAATAATGAATGTCCAGGGATTGCTCTGGATGAGGTTTCAGTGATGAAAACACCAGAGGAATCAGGTAAGTGTTTCAGACTTGTGCCATAAATGATCTATTGTGTATTGTTTTGATATAACTGATTTCATGCTCTTGTTTTTCTCTTCCTACACAGGTGAAATGTTGGTGTCGCCATTAAGTGTGGTCTCCACTGCCAAATCTGGTCGCTACAACAATGAAGCAGTAACACGACTACTACTGGACAACCAGGATGGTACTTTGTTGGAAGACGAAGGTCTTTCTCAACTCCCTGACAACTCTATTGAGACAAGTTGCCATGACATCATTCCAGATGTAGAGACACCTTCTAATGTCCAAATAGAGAAAGAGGCTGCTGCACCTGAAACAGTAGTCAAAACCCCAAAACAGAAAGCTGCACCATCCTTGTGCCTCACTGGAGTCAAGCGACTCATGAAGACACCCAAACAGAAGGCTGAACCAATTGAGGACTTAAGAGGAAAGCTGCTCAAGACCCCCAGGGAATGTAAACCTCCCCAGGGTGAAAGTCTAGAAGGCATTAAGGAACTCCTAAAGACTCCCAAATACAGGGGAGCTCCAGTAGAAGACATGGTTGGAGTGAAAAGAGTGATGCAGACTCCAAAAGAGAAGAGCAATCCTGTACTCTGTGCATCTGGTCTTCAGAGGCATATGAGAACACCCAAAGAAAAGGCTGAGCAACACGAAGACCTCACTGGTGTGAAAGAACCGATGAAAACACTGGAAATAAAGGAGGGCATGGTGGAGAATCAATTACGGCTGAAAAGATTGGCGAAGACACCTAAACAGAAGAGAAATCAAGTTGAAGAGAATCTAACTGGTGTTCAGCAACTGATGAAGACCCCTAAACACAAAGGAGAACCAGTTGAAGATCAGATGGGTATACAAAGGCTAATGCAGACTCCCAAAGAGAAAGTTGAACCTGTAGAAGACGTCTCTGGTTTGAATCAGTTAATGCAGACTCCCAAGTTAAAAGGAGAACCTGTCAGCAGGCAGTTTGAAATCAGTGAACTGATGAAGACCCCTCAACTTAAAGAAGCAATGGCAGAGGAGTCCACTGGCCTTAAAGAACTCGAACCAGAGAACAGCTCTTCCCTGACAACAGAAAGTAGTGTGACTGGGCCTACCGAGGTAAATGGCAAAGTTAACCCATTAAACACTCACGCCATGCTTACACAGGCATTTGGCTGTCAATGGGAGTTTTGTCACACTGCTTGCTTGCATTGTAGATATGTAAACCTTTGGATAGATGCTTTACACTAAACATTCCGTAATGGTTCAGTTCATTCTTTGTTTTAAAAAAAGTAGTCTAGAATTGTTTTTATTTCCTTCACATATAATTAAGCCTTGTATATTTAATTTTTAGATACAAGAACCGGTGGAAAGTGGCTCTGCATTCATGCCAGCTGAAGGCGAGTTAAAACTGGGTAATGCTCATTTGTTCTCATTGTAATCTATTTTGTTGTTCTCAGTCCTAAAATTTGGGAAATTAGGTGAAATGACAGAAAGAAATGAGAGAAATGACAATTAACTATTTGGATTACTGAACTCATGAAGTTGTCTTGACTTGTAGGTTTGGATGAGGAATGCGACAAAGAAAATGTCTGTCAGGTTGAAACCATGGAGACTAAAGTTTTAAAATCTGTGGATTTCCAGTGCACAGCTAAAGCAGTTGAATCTAATCAGAGTCATCCAGAGATTGAGACTGTAATTCCCCAGGAAAGACACCCTGACCAGATTGAAGAGGAGACTGTTTCAGTTGATGCTACTGATGTCTGTTCTTCTGGGGCAGATAAGAAAACCCAAGAGCAGTCTGAAGAAACTGCATGCGTATCTGGTAATACCAACGCAACAGTTGAAGCTACCCCAACTTCATCCACTGCTGAGCAAGAGGAGCTAATCAAGTCTCCACCTGCCAGCAAAATTCAGCGTGGCACTCGAGGAAGAGCAGCACAGAAATCCAAAAATGGTAACAACGAAATGGCCAAAGCACCTGCTGTGTTGGCATTAATTGAAGAGGAAAATATGAGTAGTCCACTTCCCGCTACTAGGGGAAGGAGAGGCAAGAAACTTCTTGAAGTTCCAGAAATCACTGCCAGCCCAATTAGAAAATCAGCCCGTGGTAGAATTCCCAAGCACAGCTTTGTGGAAGAAGAGGCCAAGAATACTGAGACTTCACAAGTGCCTGTAAAGTCCAGGAATACTGAGATGCCAGACTGCCTGCCTGTCGTTACCAAACCCAGGAAAGGAAGAAAAGCTAAGCAAGATGGTGCTGATGCTGCAGTTGCGTCCACTCATGATGCAAATGCTGTTGACCCACAGTGTCCAGATGCAAATGAAGAGCAGGTCCAAGCCCCTCTTGTGAAACCTGGGAGGAGAAAGAAGCTGGATAAAACCGAAAGACAACCTTCAGAAGAACTTGAACAGAAAACAACTGAAATTGTTTGTGAGGAAAATGCTGTTGCACCAGAGGATGTCAAGTTGCAGACTTCACTAGGTACTGAGACGATCTCTGCAACTAGAGCTAGGAGGGGAAGGCCAGCAAAGAAGGAATACTTGAAAACCGAGCCAACCCCTGCTTTGGAAAGCGAAATTAAAAGCACTCATGCTGTTGTAGTGGCTGAGAAGCCAGTGATACCTGTAGCAAAGTCAGTGCGAGGAAGGAAAGGTAAAAAAGAAACTGTCAAGGACCAACCCTTGGATGATGATGATGATGTCATGGTTGTTTCCAAAACTGTGGCAGAGGCCAATGTTGACCATAAAGAGGAGCCTGAAACTCCTGTGGTCAAGTCTGGCAGAGGACGAAAAACCAAACAGCAGAAACCACAAATGGCTGAAGAGGTTGTTGACCAACCTGCTGTAGATACCAGCACACATTTACCTGTGACTGAAGAACACACTGAAACAGTGGTAAAATCTGTGAGAGGAAATAGGAAGACAAAGCAGTCAAAGGAGACTGTTTCAGTTGAGGCTGAGGAGAACGTTGTCAGCCCGGTTGAACAAGCAGAGACCCCTGTTGTGAAATCGGGTCGAAAAAGGGCTGTTAATGCAAAGGAAACTGAAATGGTGGCAGACGTTTCTGTCAAAAGAGGTCGCCGTGCTGTTGCAGACCCTGCACCACCAGTTGCTGTGGTGTCTAGCCGTGCACGTAAAGCAGTTGTCAAAGTAGAGTCTGAGGTTACTGAGGATGTAGCTTCATCAGAAGAGCCAGTTAAGCCTGTTAAACATACCAGGAGAACAGCAAAAGCACCTGAATCAAAGAAACAAGAAAATACCATGATACAGGCAGGTTCTGAATTTGTTGCTGCTGAGAAAACACCAGGTGTTGCACTGGAGAAAGTGGAAAGAGGAAGCCGTGGCAAAAAACTGAAGGATTCAACTAAGAACATCCCTAACAACCCAATCAATGAATCTGCTACAGCTGAGGAAGCTAGTAAAATAAAACCCTCAAGAACAGTTAACTGGAACCCAGATTTGGTCGTCTGTAAAGACATTGAAGAGTCTGAAACTTCTACAGATGTAAAAGAGCCACAGCTGAAGAAATCCAAAAGGTTAGGCAAATTACCAGCTGAGACGACCTCCACAGAATCAAATCAATCAACTGATCTGCCACCCAGAGGCCGCAGAGGGAGAGGAGCGAAAAAAGAAGAAATTCCCGTTGAAGAGACTCAAGAAGAAGCTCAGATAAACGTCAAGCCATTGAGAAGAGGAAAGGCAGTGGCTCCTTCTGCGCCCAAATCGAAGCCCACTGATAGTAAGACATCAACTCCCCTCAAAAGAAAAAGGAATGAGGTGATTGAGGTAACGGATGAGTCCGTAAATAAGCAACCTTTGCCAAAGAGAAGAGGCAGAGTAGTTGAAGTTGCAGCAGAGGTCTCCAGCAAAGAGAAAACGCCTGAAGCTGAACCAGAAAAGGCTGAGCCTACTCCCAAGAAGACTGGAAATAAAGCTACAAGAGGACAGAAAAGGACAGCCCAGGAACCAGATCCAGCACCTGCTAAGTCTGTTTCAGGTAAGCATAATATAAATACTGTCCTTAGTGTTTTCCAGAAGGGTTCAAGAACTTTACATTGGGGTTTAGTATGAAGAAGTGTGTTCAATAAACCCAATTGTGCATCTTGGGACTATATAAAAAAAAAAAAAAAAAAAAGCTTGTGTAGAATTGTGGATTAGGTTCTTTTCAAATATAGCCATATTTTTCAATGAATGTATGATTTTGAGATCCATCTTTTCACACTGAGGACAACTGAGGGATTTATTCAACTATTACAGAAGGTTCAAATGCTCCAGAAGGAAACAATGCATTAAGGGGCTTTCTCTGACAATGGGGCATGTTAACCCATCCTGTTTCAACATCATTGTTAAAGGGGTCATATGATGCTGCTAAAAAGAACATTATTTTGTGTATTTGGTGTAATGAAATGTTTATGCGGTTTAAAGTTGAAAAAACACATTATTTTCCACATACTGTACATTATTGTTTCTCCTCTATGCCCCACCTTTCTGATTTACAGATCTTCTTTATGCACCAAGAGCTTGTAACACTCCAAAGAGAAAGGAAAAATTGAAATCGCATCATATGACCCCTTTAATCCATGCCACTATTGCTGTGAGCTGAGCAGCCCAGTAATAATTTTTTAATTAGGGAGGAGCAAACCTCCCTTATCTTTTCCTAAAGTTAATGTTTTTAATTTTATTCTAGGTCGCCTGTTCTGCCAAAGTAATTTTGATATGAGTTTATTTAACATCTCAGTCCTCAATCCTGCCAACTAGTGAAAGTGGCAACACTTCCCACCTTAATAGATCCTTTTTAATAATGTTGATTAATTTGTCATAATTTGGCTGATACAACTGTTAACGTCTAGGTGTAATGGTAACTCCTAAATATTTGAATCCCTGTTTAGACCGTCTAAGAGATGCTCTGTCATTTAGTTCTGCCGGCCAGACTCCAGTGATCATAAGTGCTCGTGTAATAATAATGTTTTTTTGTTTTTTTCCTGTAATGTAACGTTTTATGTATTCACACAGGAACTACCACTCGAAAAGCAAGGAGTGTGAAAAAAGTCAAGGAAGTAGATGTCCCTACAGAGGCAGCTCCTGTCAGGCGCACCAGGAGGAAGTAAAGCACTGATCTTACAGAGTGGTCTTAATTATCTATTCTCTGTAATCTCTGAAAAAAGTTTTAGTTTTATATGTTTGTAATATTGCATTGTTTTTTTTTTCTATACATTTTTCAGTGTAATTTTAGCTGATTTTATCTTAGGGAAAACTGTGTACACTTATCAAATGTGTTTTTTATGTTCTCTTAAACTCAGATGAAAGGGGCATTGAAAGTATAGGCAGGCTTGTTTTTACTTCAAGAAAATGTTTAAAGACTTTCTGCATTTGAACTGTTAACTTCCGTCAAATACATTTATCTTCTTTATTCCTTTTGTATTTTTTTTTTTTAAAGAATAAAATAAGTGAGGGGTGCAAAACCAGGTTTGATCTGTCACAATTCTTAAGCCCAAGAGTGTGTATTGTGCTGTAGTGGTAAGTGTACATGTGACATGGATGAAAGTTTTCATTAAAAAGATTTCTCACCTCATGTTTGATTGCTTTTTTTTTTTTTTTTATAAATCTGTGCCACTTGAAGATGTTGAGATCTTTCGTTGTATAGGTTGTAATGCAATGTCAATGAAGGTGTGCCAGAAAACAGCCAGTAGGTCAATAGTACCCTACTTCATGTGTGGGGGGGAACAACTGCAATGGAACACGAAAAACTGTTAATGGTGTATATCCACTACATTTACAGCAGTTAAATTACCATGGTATATTGTTTAAAATGCTAATAACTTGAACACCAGAATAATACGATATGTACCACTGCATAAATTATGTCAGAAATAATGTTTTACATTGTGCTTGGTGTTATGATGGTGATGTACAAATCTGAACAAGACCGGTAAAATAGCAATTTTAAGATGGCCCAAGCAGTTTTTTGTCTTTTCTGCTCTGGACAGTAGAGCAAACCTGTGGCAACAAAGGAGATCTACCAAAACACAAAGCTGTCAATGTAAAATAAGTTTAGTAATTGTACATCCTCTTCCTCATATTAATAATCATATTGATAAACAATTAAAAATCCTGTGGTAGCACCATAGTGTTGAATGATTGCTGTTGTAAATGAGCGCAGTGGTGTTTGCATGGCACTCCAAGGTGCTACAAAGGTATTGTGGTATAAAGAGTAAGATGCCCCTTCCACCTTTAATTTTTCTCTTGATTATGTGCCACTGAATGTAATATAAACAGCTTTATTGAGTGGCTATACTCTTATTAATCCTTACTTGTCATCTAAATCATTTTTTAAAGAGACTTGTTCTGTCTGACCACTTTTGAGGTTAAATTATCTTTTGTAGTCATTGGATAATCAGTAGATTTTTTTGTAATCTGTGCATTTATGTTATGTTTAATAATAATAGGTATTGTGGACACAGTAATTCGTTTAGATATGTATGGTTAAGAATGTGTTATTTTAAAGTGAAAAGCTAAAGTGAAACCACTGGGTTAGGTGCAAAATTGACACAAAGTCCCAAAAGTATGTTTATTGTATAATTGAATAGCTATTATAATTCATGACGTTATTTAATAATTCAATAGTTAAAAAAAAAAATCAATTTTTTTTTACAAAGCTTTCAGTGCACAGCGCAGTCTCCGCCTCAGCAGCAGGTGGCAGTACGGCGCTCAGCCGCTCTAACGGAGGCGGTGACGTAATCAGAGTGATCCGTTGAGCAGTGTTCGCGGAAATTTTTGAAATTCAACCGAAGCATCGACGGAAGAATAATAGTACAGGGAAGTTCATATATATCGTAGTATACCTTATACCTAAGTATACCTGAAACATCTGGTATGCTGATATACATTTCTGGAGTATAGTTCTTATAAACTGAGAATCGTCCTCCCGCTGAAGTTTAACGTTATATCGGAGGTATTGTTCGGTGCACAGTTCTCATTTTGTTACTAGCATAAGTAATTCATTTGTTATTCAGTTAACACCATTCATTTCGTAACATGTGTTTATTTCTCGAGAGTTTTAGATATTTGTTGGTGTTTATTTGTGTGCGTGTGTGTTTAAAGCTTATTTTCCTCACGTGTAAACAAGCTACACATTTATATTGCTAACATATTAGGCACATAACACAATTACAGTATAGTTTTGCATAGAAAAATTCGAAGTATTGAGTGAGTCTGTGTACTTTCGTTTTTACACATTCATGCTATAATAGACAATAGTTAAAGCTCTCTTGAATCATGAATGTTATCAACATGTTAATGTAATAATGTGAATTTTCTCTGTCCTGCATATGAAGGGGGTGTTTATAAAGGTCAAAATGAGTCGGCGACCCAGCAGCAGATATTCTGAGATGCCCATGCGTGTGACAGACAGCAGGATGAGCCTGATCAATGCCACCCCTCAGAAGTACAACCTTCTTCTTTGCAATTTTTGAGTACACATTGATGTGGTTTTGTTGGCCTAAACTGCTTTCAGCAGGTTACATGAGTTATGTTACAATATATATATTAGGGTGACCATACGTGCCATTTTCCCAGGACGCGTCTTGGCCAGGAGTTCTATATTGCCTAAAATATCTAGGTTTTGGCTTTGTTTGCGTTTGTTGGCCTAAACTGCTTTCAGCAGGTTACATGAGTTATGTTACAATATATATATTAGGGTGACCATACGTGCCATTTTCCCAGGACGCGTCTTGGCCAGGATTTCTATATTGCCTAAAATATCTGGGTTTTGGCTTTGTTTGCGAGTGCAGACCGATGTCTGCCTCGAAAGCATAAGGAACCGTCTGTATGGTATTTTGATGTCATACACCGATCGGTCTGCACACGCAAACAAAGCCAAAACCTAGATATTTTGGGCAATATAGAAATCCTGGCCAGGGAAAATGGCACGTATGGTTACCCTAATATATGACATATATCAACTTTAATTTAATTACAGTAAGGACAATGTCTTTGGCAAACTGAACATACCGAAACCCCATTCTACCACATCTGAGAGGCGAACAAGCTTTTTTGGAAAGTGAGTCTGGCAGTAAATGTTGCATTATCATGGTTTTGATTTGACATTGTGCATTGTAATCCTTAATCATGTCATACAGAGTTTTATTAAACATTAATTGTATTACAACAGTGTCCTCACATCTCTACCTCTCCGCAGAGGCATCGGGGCAGGTGGCCAGAGGAACAGCATGTTTGGGGCTTACGGGGGCCCAGAGAAGATGAAGGACCCCAGACCCCTACATGACAAAGCTTTTGTCCAACAGTGTATCAAGCAGCTTTGTGAAGTATGATATTGTCTGTACATTAAAGGAATATTGCGGGCTCAGTACAGCAATATTTGGATGTGAATGGGCCAAATTTATTTAGGATTTAACAAGAAATGTGAAGCTTGAAATTTTATAAAAGATTAAAAAACTTATATAAATAGAAAGTTGATGGATGTTTTTTGAGGATTTTCACCATATGTGGATTTTCGAAATATATACATTTCATCAGTTAGAAAATGTACTTTGAAGAGGTAGTCAAAAAATCTTTATGTAATCATGAGCAGTTGGAAAATCAGAAGTTAACTGGGCCAAAACCCTGGTTACAATTAATATGTTTTCCCATTATTTCTAGTTCCTGGTTGAGCGAGGCTTTCCTGGCAGCATCACAGTGAAGGCTCTCCAGTCTCCATCAACAAAAGAGTTTTTAAAGATATTTGAATTCGTCTACAGTTTCCTGGAACCGTCCTTTCAGATGCCCACTGCCAAGGTTGAGGAGGAGATCCCAAGAATGCTCAAGGATCTGGGGTAATCACAATGTGGAAAAAACAACAACAATATTACTTCATTACTACACCTGTACGAATCAGTTAAAATATAGTCTGATGTCAAACACACATTGGTCAGTGTTAACCATCCTGTACTCTGTCCTTATCACTGAGAGATGGCTATGTTTCTTTTTTCTTTTTCAGATACCCTTTTGCACTCTCAAAAAGCTCCATGTACTCCATTGGTGCTCCTCACACGTGGCCTCAGGCTCTTGGAGCTCTTATCTGGCTCATCGACACAGTCAAGGTGACTCTTCAGACCTTTAACAGTATTATGTGATCTATAATCTGTATACAAAACTGTTATGATATAAGGGAAAACTCTTAACTAGTAATGGCCAGTCAGTGTCACTTTCACTTTTGCTCGTACTTGGGGTTAAGGGTTCATTCAAATCCTTATCACACTGTCTACATGGGGCGCACCCGTTTGAGACTGTCTACACTGGAAGTGTCAAAGCACATGTTCATAAATGTATGTACACTACTTCAAATGTTTGGGGTTGAGATTTTTAGTTTTTGAAAGAAGTCTCTTATGCTCACCAATGCTGCATTTATTTGATTGAAAATACAGTAAAAACAGTAATATTGTGAAATACTGTTACAATTTTAATATATTTTAAAATGTTATGATTTCCAGTAATGGCTCTCCATTACTCCAGGCTTCAGTGTGTCATGATCCTTCAGAAATCATTCTAATATGCTGATTTGCTGCTCAAGAAACATTTATTATTATTATCAATGTTGAAAACAATTGTTCCGCTTAATGTTTTTGTGGAAATGATGATTCATTTTTTTTTTTTCAAGATTGTTTGATGAATAGAAAGTTTAAATGAGCAGCATTTATTTGAAATACAAATATTTTGTAATATTATAAATGTCTTTACTGTCACTTTTAATCAATTTAATGAGTCCTTGCTGAATAAATGTATGCATTTCTTTAAAAAAAAAAAAAATGTAGAGAGGCCAAACTTTTTAAAGATGTTTGTCAGAAATCAAACATGCATCCATTTATTGTCAGCTACTCATATGGTGTAGACACCATTGATTGATTTAGAATAGGTTCCATTTGCTTTTGATATGGAGTGGGCTCTTTTGACTTGGGCCAGCACTCAACCACCTACAACAGACTAACATTGTGGCACTGAGTTTTGCCAATTGCCTGTTTTCACTTTCTACAAAACCATTTTTCATGTTCTACAATAAAATGTGAGAATCAGTCTAGCTTTCCTTACCATCCCAGACTGCAATTTGATGCACATTAACATGCAACAGGAAACATTGTAGCATTGCCTGACCTGACATGTAGGTTTTGTCCCTGCAGCTCTTCAGTGGTGTGAGAGAGCAGGGCCTGCTGTTCTCTGACTTCTCAGATGAACTGTGTGATCTAGAGGGAGGGGCCGAGTACAACAAGGTATCTTATGAGACAAAAAGTCAGCTTTGACAGTTTCAGCAGTCATTTTGTATATTTTACTCCTCTGCATTGTAGACATCACACATATGCCAAATTTGTATAAGTGTGCTGTGTTTTCTCTGTAGCTCTTTATGGAATACTGCTCTGACACCTACAACAAGTTTATGCAGGGAGCAGATACATTTGAAGATGAGGATGAAGACTACCTTAATAAACTAAGTAAGATGATAAGCAGTTTGATGATAAAGTGTATATTTATTTTAATTGTATGGGGGGGGGCATATTTTATCTGATCCTCTTAAATGAAAGG